TATATATATATATATATATATATAAATATAATATAAATATATGTATTTATTTATAGCAGTCTATATATATAGACTGCTGTGACTAGGTTTGCTCACCAAAATAGGTTCTGTGTTTGCATGGCAGAATTGTCAAATTCTGGTGTGTATGTTTTGATGCGTGGGGTTGCAGAATTTCTTACATAACTCTTGAGACTGTTAAAGCATGTTTGTTGCTCTTTCTTGGGGGTTCTGCATCTAGATTGGTGTTTCCCAACCAGGACTCACTCCAGGTGCCTTGGTGTCTCAACTGCCATAATCCCTGGCCACATGGGTCTTGACCATACTGTGCTGGAGTTACATTGCGAGCGCATCAGGAGGGCCCTAGGTTGGAGAAAGCCAATTCGTTGCATGGAAGCCGACTGGGAGCTCTGAAGCATGGTGTGTCCATTGGCATGTTTAGAAGCTGAAGCTGTGGTTTGGATGCTGAGCTGGCTTGCACAAGGTATGGTTTGCCATCTGAATGGAGCCAGAAAGAGCCCTTCTCTGTGAGGGTCTTCCTTCAAGTCTTGCCCTTTCTGGCAGGCATTCCTGCCCTCTTCCTCCAGCACCATGCCTCAGAAAATCCTCCCTATCTAGGAAAGAAGTTGGATGTGGTCAAGCACGCCCTTGGTGTGCAGGTGACCCAGGGCCGACTTCCTGGCATTTCAGGCTGAAAGAATGAAGTATTTATTTATTTATTTATTTATCAAGACATTTCTATGCCGCCCCTTGCCGAAGCCTCGGGGCGGCTCACAGCACAAAATAAAATACAATAAAATACAAAAATAACAATATAAAATTAACAATATAAAATAAATAACAATATAAAAGAAGTCGCCCTGGCAAGTAGCAACGGGTGGGGAGAAAATTTCCCTGTCATTTTGACAGTGGCTCTTCAGAGGTGACCATCCTGGGCGAGATGGCCAACAGTTTGACTTGGTTCCGTGCAACTACCTGTGTTCCTTCCCATACTGGTCTGTTTCAACACTTCAGGAGTGTTAAACCTTGGGGGAAAGGGGCTGGGATCAGGAAGAGGCATAGCAATTTAGGGAAACCTGGAGAGGCAGGTTGGGACCTCATGCCGGCTGGATGTGTCCCTTGGGCCTGAGGTTCTGCATTCTTGCATTACTTTGACTGGCAAGTGTGTCCACACCCTCAGCATCCCTTTTGTTTGAGCTATACCTGACAAGAGCTAGTCCTTACCCTTTGGCACTACTTGCTGATTCCCAGGTAGGTGTTCTATCTGGATTTTCTGCAGCTCTTTTTTTCATTTCTGAAGGATACAGTGGTCTGGAGCTAACAGGTCTACTAGATGAAGAGATCAAGGGATTGTGGTTTGAGTGAGAGAAAGTTGCGTCTCAGGGCTTCACCTTCGCATGCAGAGGGTCCCAGGTTTAGTCCTTGGCATCTCCAGGTAGGGCTGCAAAAACTCCTGCCTGAGATCCTGGAGAGCCATTGACTGTCAACAGTCAGTCAGTGTCAACACGGGACAAGAGAGACCAGAGTGGTGCATGGGAAGGGTATGTTTCTGTGGGACCTGTGGACTTGATAGGAATCATAATCCTTCTGGCAGGGAGTGATAAGAAGTCAACATAGCAAGCAGGCATTTGGGTTCTCCAGAGAAATTCTTCAGGTTGGATGAGAGGGAGAAAGCAAGAGAAAGAATGCACCTTGCAGAACTGAAAGGCCAGCCCAGCATTGGCCATGATTGCCCAAGATGCACTGCTTAAACCTTTAGGTGCTAAGGCATTTGGGTGCCTGGTTTCCCTCCTCCCCACTCATGGCTGTGGTGACTGTGTTTATAGGATCCCTGAAGGCTCTTTGTGACAGATTATGATGCTAATTCAACAGTGAACAACTTAAGTGGTTCCTCGGTGCACTTGCAGATCTACATCGGGTGAAGTGCTTCATGCTTCACGGTTAGCTGTAGCTTTAAACCAGGCCTCATTTCTTTTTGTTTTTTTGCCTTTAAAAGGCAAAGTCCCACCAATAGTAAGCCTGACCTTTTACTAAAACGCGTGCCATTAATGTATTTAATGAGATGCATTACAAACTGCAGCAAGCGGCGTGTTTCATTACAAGTCCAGAAACTGCGATATCATTAAAGACCTTTAACAGAAACAATGGTTGACATTTTGATATTTCCCATAAGCAAAACACATTTATGAACATAGAGTTTAATATATAAATTCTGTAAGGAGGTGGAATGCATGCATGCTAGAGTGTTAGAAGATGAGCTTTGGCATATGTTATAGAAACTGACAGACGTTTAAAGGATCCATATTTTAAAAGTCAGTTAAAATGACCTTCTTGGCTTTAACCATGATATTTTGGATTCTGAAAACTTGTTAGAAGTTTCAGGCACCTGAGATTTGTCCTAGTCTTAAAAAAACATGTCTTTGTGCATTCCTAGGCATGCTTATTTATTGCTACAATTTATTAGTTGCCCTATAGCTAATCACTCTCAGGGCAGCACATAGTAAAAAGCAAATAAAAATAAAAGTATATAAATCAAAACAAATGCATTATACTAAAACAATCAATTAAGCACATAAAGTAGGATCATACCCGTTTGGTATAAGGGTGTATCTAATCCAGTATTCTGTTCACAAGCAGGGTATATTGCAGTAGCCCCCTTCTGCCTTTGTTCTCCAGCATCTGGTGTACAAGGGTATACTACCTCTGGTACTACTTCTATGTAGCCATGAGGACTAGTAGCTCTTGATAGTCTGCCGAACAGCATCCTTTTTTAACACCATCTGCTTGGTGGCCATCACGCTATCTTGCAGCAGCAAATGCCATGATTCAACTATGTGATTCTATGTATGATTCTGTGATTATTGCTGTCAACTGCCTAGAGAGCTTTGGCTATGGGCAGTATAAAAATGTAATAATAATAATAAAAAAATAATAATGTGCTGCATGAAGAAGTAGTTCCTGGAAGCTTGGCTTTTTTAGGCAGGGAAGATCAAAAGTGGACTTCTGGCCCTTTTGGACTTCAACTTGCAGTGTTCCCTACGAATTGCATCCTGGCAGAGGCTTCTGGGAATCAAAATCTGAAAACATCTGGGAATCCACTTTCTGCCCATCTCCCTATTCAGAGACTGTACTTTTTTTTTTTTTTTTTTTTGAGGGCCAACTGCTGAGGACAAAGGGACAGGAGGGGCCCCCATGCCCTCGCTGTGAAGCTCCTGGAGGCATCAGTGTGGTTGCTGTTAGATGCAGGATGCTGAGTTGAGTGGTTAATTGTCTCAGGGCTGCTGTTTTTGTGAGCGGAGCAGCAAAATTGCTTCCAGCCCCCGGGTAAAGATAAGGCAGGCTTCCTTGAGCTGGTGCCTTGCAGATGTGTAGAACCTTAAACCGTGACTTTAAAGGGTTTGAAGAAGCCTGTGTGTGTCTGGGGGACAACCCAGGCAGTGAGTCTCCCAGCTTCCCCGCCTCTATATTTCATCTTTTGCAGCTTGGCTTACATACCCCAGCATGGTCTGCCTGTTCTTGGCTGCCTGTGGATCTTGGATTCTGGCGGATGATTTACTGCAAAATTGCTTATAAATTGAAATAGAAAATGTTTTGCCGACGTGGCAGCTTTCAAGCTTCGCACCCATTTGTCACCCAGCATTTCCCTTTGTGTATAGAACAGGAATTAATTAGGCTGCACTGCAGGAAAAAGTTTATGGCCATAATTTATATGGGATGATTTTTGTTTTTTAAAGGGGCAGCTCTGCTTTCTTGGGGCATTTAAGACTTTGAAAATGGAGGAACTGCCCAGGTGAGACACACACCTGCCATGGTCAGATTTAGGCATAATGTACAGGGTACAAGATCCTGTACAAGGGTGTAAACATCCAGGAGTCCTTGTTGCCTTAACAGATGAGCCGGTGGCCAGGTGGCCAAAGTGGGTGACGAGGGTGGTTTAGGGATCGGTGCCATCTGCTAGGACGGGCAAGTCTCAGGTTTGTGTCTTCACTCTGCCCTAGAACTTGCTGGGTGCCTTGGCATCGCCTATAAGAGGGTTCATTTGCTAGGTGAGGAAAAATAATAAATCATAGAATAGAAGAGTTGCATGCAGGCCATCGAGTCCAACCCCCTGCTATTGCAGGACACCATGTTACACCATCCCACTCAGGGCTGCCCAGTTTCTGTACCTTTTATACCAAAAAAGACGTGCCTTTTTTGAATTTTGTGCAGGATAGGTGGGATAGAAAAGAACCTTGGTACCTTGGGGCCACAGTTCGAGGCTCCCAGTCCAGCGCCTCCCAAACAACCATACAGGGGGTGGCAGATGTCGAGGGACTCAGGGCAGCAGAGCCAGGCTCCATTGTATTCCTGCACTTTCTGCAAAACTGCACATGATTGGAGTCTTTTTTTTTAATGCTTGGCAGACCATTTTCTTATCACAGCATATTAGGCGTATAGGAGCTAAT